AGATTGTTTCAGGCCATACAAGGACCTATTCAGCTTGCACATATAATCTTGTTTTCCCTTTTCAGCATACCCTTCAGGTTGCCTCATCATGATTATTTCATCTAGATCACCATAAATGAAGGTTGTCTTCATATCCATCTATTCAAGTTCTAGGTCAAACTTTGCCACCATGACTAACAACATTCTAATGGATATATGCTTTACAACAGGTGAGAACACATCATTGAAGTCGACACCTTCTTTATGAGCGAACCCCCTAACAACCAACCTTTCTTTAAAACGCTTCGACATCACTCATTCGATTCCATCCTTAATCTTGAAGATCCACTTACAACTGAATAAACTGGCCCCTGCAGGTTTTTTGATCAGCTCCAAAGTGTTATTATCATAGAGAGATTTCATATCATCACCCATGGCTTTCAACCATTCAGTCTTATTTCAACTCCTCATAAATTCCTTATAGTCTCTAGGTTCTTCGTCAAGAACCTCACTTGTAGATATTAAGGCATAAGCTATAAGATCTTCATAACAAAGTCTTTGAGGTGGCTTGATGACTCTTCTCGACCTATCTCTTCCCTGCAGGTAGTCATTATCAATCTCTCCAGCTTGGACAACAGTTGATGCATCTTCATCTACTTCATTTGAGTCATGCGATTCAGCATCATTATGCTCTACCTCAACAGGAATTTTTTCTTGTTCCATCTATTCTTCAGAGATCTTCGAACTTCAACCAATATCATCAATTTTCTTGAAATCTATCTCAGCTTCATTGAAAACTACATTTTAACTTGCGATACACCTCCTGTGACCTAGCTCTAGGCACCACAACCTATAAACTTTGACTCCTTCAGGGTATCCAAGGAACATATACCTCAGAGATCTAAGTTCGACCTTGTCTTGCCTAATATGCGCATAGGCTAAAAAACCAAATAATCTAAGTTTGTTGAGACTAGGTGGATGTCCTGACTAGACTTCTTCAGGTGTCTTCATTCCTAAGACTGTCGAAGGACACCTATTTATCAAATATGTTGTAGTCACAACAACTTCTGCCCAAACATCTTCTTCACCAACATGCACCTCACCCTTTCCAGAATGGTTAAATTAAACCTTTCAACCAAACCATTTTGTTTGGGAGTCCCTGCAATAGTTCCATGACTTGCAATACCATACGCAACATAATAATTATTGAGAGCCTCATTGCAAAGACCATTATCGGTCCTCAACCTCTTGACCTTCCTGCCAGTTTAGTTTTCGACCAGAGTCTTCCAACTTTTAAAATTTTCAAAAGTTTCATCCTTAGTTTTTTGGATGAATACTCATAACTTTCTGGAATAATCATCAACTATGGATAAGAAATATTTTGCACCTGAGTGCGAAAGATTCTTTGCGGACCCTCAAAGATCAGCATGAATGTAATCAAGGGATCCATGTGTTCTTTGTTTACCTTTATTAAACTTCATTATATAGAATTTACAAAATACACAAGGTTCACAAAACTCTATTTTTTCGACCTTGCACCACACAACAGATTTTGTTTCGAAAATTTAACCATGCCTCTTTCACTAACATGGCCAAGTCTCTTGTGCCATAGCTCAGCGCCTAACATAGGTTTTGGAGATGTCTCATCTACTGAACCACTTACAACCTCAGCCTCGAGGGTATACAAGGCTTGTTTCTTCACACCTCTTAAGACTTCCTTCGACCCCTTAATTACCCTTAGGATGTTTTCTCTCCTTTAAAAACATATCATTTCTTATCAAACTCACCAAGAGAAATCAAATTCCTCTTAAGATCAAGTACATACCTAACATCTGTCAATATCCTTATTGACTCACCATGGAGCTTGAATCTCACAGATCCAATACTTGTAATATGCAAGCTTTATCGTTTCTCAACAACACTAATCCACCATCTTGATCACACAATTTCTCAAACACGTATTCGTTTGAAGTCATGCGCCAAGCACACTTTGAATCCATAATCTACTCCTTGCTATAGTCACTGCTTAAAACAACCGGAACATCAGATGATTCTAACCATCTTACACAATGGTTGCACTACCGTTATCCTTTCCACCATGATTGTTCAGTCGATCAGGGCATATTTTTCTTGTATGATCCTCTTTCTTATAAAGATAAGACTTAATAGTAATAGCATTACCACCATAAGAATTATGTAAAAATTTCTCCTTCTTCTTCTCAAATCTACCATCTTTCTATAAGAATTTTTCCTTAACGGACAAACCTACCATCTTTATAATTGTTTTCATATGTCATTTAAATTATAAACGTTTAGCGATCGAATTTTATTCATAAATAATAACTTTAAGACATTCGTTTAAGAATTCACACTTTAAATTTTTGCTTAAGTTATATATATATATATATATATATATATATATATATATATATATATATATATATATATATATATATATATATATATATATATATATATATATATATATATATATATATATATATATATATATATATATATA